TCATGGACTAATTAGACATAAAAGATTCGTCTCGTAAATTAGTCGTAAGTTGTGCAATTAGTTTCGTAATTAGTTTATATTTAATACTCTATACATGTGTCAAATATTTGATGTGATAAAAATTTTAAAAGGCACTGTAGAAAAAAAAAAGGCCTGAGCCTGAGAGCTCGGCCCGGGGTTTGGGTGGCCCATTTATTGCACCTGACGCGCCGCGCAGCTGCGTGCTGACACGACGCTTCAATGTTTCTTGCCGCAGTAGCCGTAGCATGCAGTAGCTTTGAATTGAACGCTCGGTCGGGTTTAGATTTGTTACTGTAGTATTATTTTCGTTTTTATTTGATAATTATTGTTCTAATTATAGTTTTACTAGGTTCAAAATATTTATCTCGTAATTTATAATTAAATTATGTAATTAGTTATTTTTTTATCTATATTTAATACTTTATATATATGTCTAAAGATTTAATACGATAAGGAGAGGAAAAAAACTTGAATCGGTCCTAACCACGGTAGCTAGCTAGAGCCTAGACCACAGTCTCTAGGAGTAGTCTTTTCAGTGGTCATGTAACATGTGTCTTTGCGCCTCCTTGTGCTGAAACCAGAAAAATGCGTCATAGGGCCCGTTTAGTTCACTCCAGGGTTGGCGTCGGCAGAATTCGGTTGGTACTGTAGCGCACGGTAACGTTTTGTTTTTATTTGATAATAATTGTTTAAGCGTAATTAGTCCATGTTTGAACACTAAAACGTAAATAAAACGAAGATGCTAAGTATAACCTAAAATTCAAATTTAGTTTTTGATTTCATTAACATTTAATGTGTTTTTGCGCCTCCTTGTGCTGCAACTAGAAAAATGCGTCACACATGCAATGCAAGCTGGTACCATCCTCCGTCGGTAAATAACTATTACTTTAGATTTTTATATAGTAAGTTAAACTAAATTAATAGAAAATATGTATACTAAATTTTGTAGCATAAGTATTAATATTTATATATATATATATATATATATTTAGTCTGTTCTTTCTTACGAGGTGAAAATGACGATTATTTAGGGAGGGCGAGAATATTACTTTGAGAGAATTTCTTATTTGACACTGAGAAAATGAGTCGTTTCTTTCGTGGTCCTAAATTTTCATCGTTCTCTATTTGACACCCACTTCAACTTTCATCTTTAATTTGATACTACCGTCAAATCCGTTAGCTAACGGTGTTAACTAGCTGTTAAAAAGACGTTTTTGCCCCTAGAAAAAAGCGACGAAGCAAATTTGAAAGGAAGAAAAAACCTGCGCCTTTTTTTGCAGCTGGGCGCATGCATCAGAGGCAGACGCAGTTTTTTTTCCTCACAAATTTGCTTCGCCACTTTTTTCTAGGGGCAAAAACGTCTTTTTAACAGCCAGTTAATACCATTAGCTAACGGATTTGACGGTAGTGTCAAATTAGGGATGAAAGTTGAAGTGAGTGTCAAGGGAACGAAGAAAATTTCAGGGCCAAGAAAGGAACGACTCATTTTCCCAGTGTCAAATAAGAAATTCTCTCTATTACTTTTGTACTAAAAAGAAATATATGTTTATGAGATTGAATATGTTTAATATAAAAATATAATGTGATTCATCTAATGATGTTTACTAGATATAATAAACCATATACTAGAAATTTAATGAAACATATTCTTTGTATACAAAGAAATTTAATGATGTTTATGTTGTGACTAGAATTCGAACAAGTGATGGAGACATAGATGACTTTTCGATTAGGATAGAACTATATAAAAGGTCAGCTTTGAGCCTTTATTTGTTTGTCTTAGTAATGGATGAGGTCACAAGGGACATATAAGGGGACATCCCTTGGTGTATGTTTTTCGCGGACGATGTAGTGCTAGTTGATGAAAGCCGGACATGAGTGAATCAGAAACTAAAGTTATGGCGGAAGACTTTGGAGTCCAAATATTTTAAACTCAGTAGAACTAAAACTGAGTATATGAGATGTGACTTCGGCATTACTACTCGGAAGGAGGAAGATATTAGTTTGGAAGGTCAAGTATTGCCTAGGAAGGATACCTTTCGATATTTAGGATCAGTGCTACAGAAAGACGGGGATATTGATGAAGATGTTAGCCATAAAATCAAAGCAGGGTGAATGATGTAGCGCCAAGCATCTGATGTCCTATATGATAAAAGGGTGCCACAGAAACTAAAATGCAAGTTTTATAAGACGGCGATTAGACCTGTTATGTTGTATGGTGTAAAATATTGACCTACGAAAAGACGATATGTTCAACAGATAAGTGTCACGGAAATACGTATGCTGCGTTGGATTTACGGTCATGCAAGAAGGGATCGAGTTCGGAACGATGATATACGTGATAGATTAGGGGTAGCCCCAATTGAAGAAAAGCTTGTTCAACATCGGTTGAGATAGTTTGAACATGTCTAACGGAAACCTCCAGAGGCACCGGTGCGTATTGAAATTCTAAGCTAGAATAGTAACATGAAGAGAGGCAGAGGAAGACCGAAGTTGACTTGGTTAGAGGCAATAAAATGAGATTTAAAAGAATAAAATATACCTAAAGACTTAGCCTTAGATAGGAGTGTTTGGAAGACAGCTATTCACGTGCCTGAACCTTCATTATTTTTGTTGGGTTTCAATTCTAATCTATCCCAATTTATTTAGGACTTGAAGACATTATTATTGTTTTATTGTTTTTGTACGGAAATCTATAGTTGTATTACGAAGGCTAACCAATCAATTACTAAGGCTTCGTTTAGATTGCGGTTAGGATTTAGTATTTGGCACTGTAGTACTTTCGTTTGTATTTGACAATTATTGTCTAATTATGGTCTAACTAGGCTCAAAAGATTCGTCTCGTAATTTACAATTAAACTATGTAATTAGTTATTTTTTTTATCTACATTTAATACTCTATGTATATGTACAAAGATTTAATATGATAAAAAATGAAAAAACTTGCAATCTAAATCAGGCCTAAACTGTGTGGTTGCTCCTGACTCCTTGTGCAGTGAAGTCCACAGGGCACGGCCCGTTAAATTTTTGTCCTGTCCATTCCAACGTCAGCTCGTTTTTTTTTTGCATGCCCCATTCTCTCTCCATGCTCCACAGTCTAAGAACAGTATGTAGCAGCTCAGATCTTAGAGTAGTAGCTTTAGACCCTAGGAGTAGGAGCTCTCAGCCTATTTAGTTGGCTGGTTTGTATCGTTGCTGGTTCATTTATATAAGAGAAAGTATCACTTGGTTGGTTTTAGATGAACAAGTGTTTTTTTGAGATGGTCGACCAGCCCAAACCAACCACCACCAGCCCAATGATCGGCCGACCACGGGTTGCGGTTCCATAACCTTGGCGTCAAGATATGTGACGCCGAGTTCGACGCTATGTATTCTGGCGTTAAGTAACAGCCATATTAACGTCACCTAGGATCCCCTGCAGTGCATGGCCAGGCAACTCGACGCCAAGATCTATGGCGGCAAGACGTGTTACCTCGGTGTCAGTACTCATGGCGCCGACTCCCAGGATCCAAAGATGAGTTTAAGTCTCCTAGGGGTCAGTGTCAGTACTCATGGCGCCGACTCCTAGGATCTAAAGATGAGTTTAAGTCTCCTAAGGGCCAAACGTAAATTTTCTTTGAAAAAGGATCAAATAGTAAAAAAAATTAGGTCAATCAGGGCTACGGTACTGTTGTTTTGCTTCCAGGCCTGCCCTGGCCAGGCTACGGCATGAGTGTTGAGTGACTTGACCAGCCACAACAAGAAGCAGCGTCGGCAACCTAGCTATGCTTGTCTGCATTGATAGGGTTAGACAGGTCGACAGACAGAGATGGCAGCGGCACGACAGCACGATATGGCACTGCATATACACCATCTTGACACTAAGGATCATGGTGCCAAGCTCGACGTCAAGATCTACGACGTCGAGTTTGGCGCCAGGATCTATAGCGCCGAGCTGCCTATTAAGTCATCGCTATGTCTATATTGAGTCCAAGACCTAAGACCTCGGCACGATGGTGCCAAATTAAAGGTCCAAATTTTAAAATTTATCTACAAAGATATATTCGTAATTTTTTTTCAAAAATATCTAAAAAATAAAAAATTCGGCAGGAACACTTAGTAGATAAAAAAGAACCCATCCTCCCTCGACTCAAATCAAACGTAGACGAGTATCTCTCATCTGCGTTCATTGTATATGATATAGTTGTCGGTTCGTTCGTTCGTCCGTATGTGTGTGAGGTGTGCGTGTGTGTTGATGTGTGTCTGCTGTACTTAAGATGAGAGAAAAAAAAAATCAAACGTAGGCCCCCCCTGCATCTTCTCTGGACGCCACCGCCTCGCCGCCGGTCCTCGTCTCCCGTCGCCGTGTCCGTTGGCGCGACTTCGAGGGTCCGCTCCGCTCCGCTGCAGCCCGCCGGTAGAAAGGGGCGGGCCTGGGCGACATTGGCCCGCCGCGCGAGGTAGGGCCCCGTCCGTCCCGCCGTGTTTTTTCCCCGGGGAGAGGTGGTTCCGTGGTTGCGCTCGCTCGGCACGTCGAGGCTTCTCGGGCTGTGTCCCACGCGGCTCCGGAAGAGCACGGGCGTGGGGAATTGGGCGCGTGCTCGCGAACCCTAGCTGGTTCGGGGGTGTGTGCTCCTCGGAGCGGCTCGCGTGCGTTCCGTGCTCTGTGGCTTAGGCTTTGCTCCACACGCGTTGTTTCGGCTAATTCCTTGAATGCTTATTTCTCTATTCGCTTCTAATGATTCCTGGAACGCCTCCATACTTGCGGGCATTCACGCAAGGGTCGCCCAGCACGTGCTCTTGTCGCACTAATTATTTGAATGCCTGCCATTTTTTTATTGCTTTCTAATGGTTTGGGATATATCTGACGCTTTCGTTTTCCACATACAAATGTCTTGAGTACACCATAACCCAACACGCTTTCTTTCTGCTGTTAGGTGTAAGTCCAACGAAACTGATTGCGGAATATATGAAGTAGTGGGCGTTGAATGACCTTCTCTATGGATTTGAACGCACCGCCGTTGCCCGATGATGATGAGCATCAGCCTTATGATGAACAGGTTGAGGTTGAGTATGCTCAGGTGGAACCTGTTGAGTCTGCTGTCGCAATAATGCGCCGGGTATGCAACTATCATTATTGGTGTTGATGTTCATTCCATGTACCGTGCCCTTGACATATTGTTATTGGATCTTACTAATGATTGCCGATACGTGTTGTTCAGTACCCGCGTGTACCTTAGCTTGGTTGACATTATTCGCTGAAGAAAATGGCTTCCACAAAGGGAGGGAAGCTGTTAAATATGTGGACATCGTAGTCTTCAGTCAATACATTGGTTGTCTTTTAATGTGCATCACGAGCATAGTGGATTATATATTGGATTTGTTGTAGAACGATGATTTTGATGTTCAATATGATTTCCTTGTTTGGCGGGTGATTTACTTTGACTGCCTTTATTTTGCATACATGCTGGCCCGTGTTTAAACGTTAAACGGTAAACAGTCGGTCACCTACTGTTTAGCCCATTATTCGGGCAAAACGGGTGTTTAAACGGGAAAACGGCCGTTTAAACGGTCAAAACAACCGATAAAACGGAAACGGTGTACCACCATGTAGCGTTTAAACGGTGTGTAAACGGACTAAACGGCCGTTTAGGCGAACAGTGGCTGGTATGCATGCATTGTTTATGTATGTGCCAGAAAGGCCTTGTGGCTCTTTAAACAGTTCATTTTAGTTTCCTTTTCATACTGAGCCTACAAGCTTGGTTTATTGATGCTAACCGTACCTTCTACATGACCTTGCTATTCTTGACAGGAGCGTGAAGAGAGACGCAAGAGACTAAAGAGAGAGCAGCAGGATGATGGTTCAAGGCTACATTCCCAGCAGATCAGGAATGATTATGTTCCTCAACCCAAAAGACATAGTCGCATTAAAGAGGCACCTCAGGGTACGAGTATTCGGCAATTTTCTGAATAGTTTGGTTTACTGATACATTTCACCTTCTGTTCCCCCTGCTTATCCGTTATTCTTTTTTTTTCCCACTGTTATTTTTTGCATGTAAATTTTATATGTAATGTATCTTGGTGCGATTTCAGGCTGGTTGGACTGTCCTGCATTTGGGGAGCCAATAGATAAAATCATACCATCCAAAGTTCCTCTTGATGAAACATTCAATGAGTCGGTTCCTCCTGGGAAGCGATACTCCTCGAAGCAACTAGTTAACAAACAAAGAAAAGCTGGCCGCGAAGTAAGTATTGCTTGCTTGTTCCTACGGATCACACTGTAGTCCCTCCTATTACACTAATCATTATGTGAAGGTAGTCTCGTTTTCTATTAACATTTGTTGTATACAAAAATTTGGTTCACTGAAATCAGGCTGCCCCTAGGAATGAGTTTCTTTTCTTGTGTACAACCATAATGTTCTAAAAAAGAAGTAGATGCTAGGTGGCATGTATTTCCTAATGAGCACTTGGTGGGATAGATGGTGATATATGCTAGATAGGAGGGCAGTTCTTAGTTATCTGGCGCCGCAAAGGTATGTTAGGAACCCACCTTTTCTAGCATTTTGCAACCGCCTTCTATTATTTTTTGTCTTCCCTTGTGTCTTCTCATGCCAGCAGTGCACAGCACATCCTCCTTCCTTTCCCCTATCTTCGTCCTACGGTGATATTCTCCTGCACAGATATACCATCTTTGCATGCTCTGAGATCCTTTCGATTTTTTCCAGTGCTGTCATCACCTTCAATGCCCCTGAATAACAAAAGAAGTAAAAGGATGAATTCATCCTTATTGACATAAACCAGGACAATTTGTTCTTTGTGGTGTGCCCCGATTTTTTACAATTTGGCCCTATTTTTGAAGAAAATTTACGTTTGGCCCCCTGGGAGACGTAAACTCATCTTTGGACCCTGGGGGTCGGCGTCAGGACTCATGGCGCCGAGACATGTCTCGGCCACAGATCTTGGCTCCAAGGTGCTTGGCCGTGCACAGCAGGGCATCCTAAGTGGCGTTGACGTGGCCGGATGCTCGGCGCCAGAGTTCATGACGCCGAGCTTGGCGCCACAGATCTTGGCGCCGACCTCGGCGCCATGTATTCTGGCGCCGAGCATGGATTCAAAGCGTGTGGCCGCCGCAGCTCTCTCTCGCGCTCTCTCTCTCTCATCGCCGCCACCAGCCAGCCCATTGCCGCTCGCGCCTCCTCACTTGCCACGCCGCCCGCTCCACATCAAGAAGCAGCAAGACCGCCCTCCCCTCATGAGCGGCGCGCCTCCCCCGTCTCTCCTCTCCGCCCTCCGCCACAGCCAGTGCCACCGCCCCCCAGGCTGCCGCCGCTGCTCCTCCGGCCTCCCTCCTCCCTCCCCTCCGCCTCAGCTCATCGCACCGGGCACGCCACCGGCTGCCATCGCCGCCCAGTGCCCCCCGAGCCGTGTCCGCCTCCGACGCGCCGTCCCCTCCTCCCCCTCTGGCGCAGCGGCACCACCACCGGCACCGGAGGCACCGGCCGCCGCCCCTGCCCCCGCCCCTGCCGCCTAGTAAATCCCTTACTACTTTGCATTATATGAATTGTTACTGTGTCTACCTGTTCTTCCATTATTCATGCATCGGCTAGCATTACAAGTTCGCCCTTGCATGCTGGCGGTTTGCCCAAAGCAAAAAGCACCTACGCATTCAACTTTTTTGTTGTGATAGCATATTTACACTTTTTATCTTTTCTCTCCATTCACTTCAATTTTCAGAGAGAAAATTGCATGCTTTTTCTTGTACTACTTTGCATTTCTGCTTGTAATTTGGTATATATGTATGAATACAATATACTGTAATTAATCTAATTTAATCAATCTATAGTTTAATTTCCACCCAAAAATTATAACTGGAGTAGTAGGTAGGATCGGAGCTACCACATCCAACTTGTTACTAACTACTATATATGTTACCATGCATGCACCTTACCCAGCCACGAAGGCACGAGGAGGAGCGACCCATTGTTGTTGGCTGGCTCACGCCAAGCTGACTTGCAGCCCACACACGTCACCAAGACCGGAGTGGAGCAGGAGGCCGAGGAGCGCGGCGTGAAGCAAACAACCCCAAAGAAGAAGAAGCCGGCAGCAAGCAAGCGAGGTAGTTCACTAATCTCACTTGCAGCAGCCTTGCGCACTGGTAGCCATATGGTAGGAAACTAGGAACGTAGGATTGTACTAGCACATTGGTAGCACATTGCACATTGCTGTGACAAACTAGGAACGCACATTGGTAGCTATGTGGTAGGAATGCAAATTTGTAAAATTCGCAAGCAATTAGTAATTTGTAAAGATGTTTTCTTCATTGTGAATGAAGATGATATAATGGAGACTTTTATGGCTGTTAGGAAGCATAAGCCCAACATCGAGAATAATATTGTTGTCTTATTTGAACTATCCTAGTTTGTTAGTTCTATTCTACTGATGATGTGCTATTACAGTTATTTAGTGATTTAGTGATGTAATTTAGTTAGCTAATTTAGATAGATAGTTAGATAGTTAGGTAATTTAGTTATATAGGTAGTACTTGTAGTAGATGTAGTTAGATAGATATGTGGTTTAGATTAGATACTTATTTATTTAGGTAGAGAGTCGGAAACTTTTATATGTATGTAATTTAGTTATACCCATATTAGTTAAACCCGTAATAACTTTGGTGATGTTCATACTAACTAGATGGACAACGTAGTCACCCTGTATCATGGAGGAAGTGTGGAGGAAGATGAGTTTAGGAATGTCAGTTTTGTTGGAATGCAAAGGGTGCCAGTGATATTCGATGATCGGCCATTATTTTCTGAGTTGTTTGGTAGGGCTCGTGATGAGCTTAAATGCAATTCAAATGAAGATGCCATCTTAGTTGAGGGGGTACTTCACCATGACAGGTCAGTGATAATTTTGAGGTGGTTGGTCCCAATTGCATCAGAGGCTCAATGGGACAAATATGTCAAAACTGTCATGAAGAATGAGTTTCAATGTTTGGATTTGGTTGTGCGGAAGTTGTCTAATGATCCCACCCCTCATGGGTATTCACCCCCTCATGGGTTGTCGCCAGCAGCAGAGAATCCGGCACCCTCTGAGCCTCTGTTACCCAACTGTGAGGTGGATGTGGAAGATGCGGTTGTGGTGTCCGATACTCAATCCGTCCTGAATGTGGTTGGTGTATGTCCTAGTGTCCGTGCAGAATGTGGGACTGATGATGTTGTTGGTGCCCCTCAGGAGATCCCTTTGACCCAGAATAATCCTAGTAAACGATTTAGTAACACTTTGGCTTTCCTTATTCTTTGTTCATTCCATTCCTTTGTCTCAGTGCTATCCATATTTGTGCTTTAAATGCAGGAGACAATCCTGATAATGATGGTTGTGCTCCTGTTCCTAACAGTGTAGATGTTGATATTGCGGATGATGAGGAGCCTTATGGTACTGCAAGGGCCGTTGATTCTGATGATGACCGCCCAGTTGCAGCTTTGAGCGAATAAGAAATGGAGCTCATCAGACGTTTGTGTCCTGATCGTGATTCATTGGTTCATAAATTCAGCGACCTTAGTCATTCTCAACATGCTTATGGAGAAGAAAAAGATGGCGAGCTACTAGAGGCTCTATAGGCCGATGACAGCGTGGAAATTCAGAAGGGCATGGTCTTTAAGGACTTGCCCACCTTAAGAAGGTGGCTACAGGAATATTCTGTGAGACGTAAGAGACCATTCGAGGTGAGGCACTCCTATGTGGAGTGCCGTTACACGATGGTCTGCGAGATGGCAGATTGCAATTGGAGGGTCTGTGCTCGCAAACAGAAGGCCACAGGAAAAGTCAAGACCACCAAAATTGTAGGTCCACACTTGTGTCTAGACAGATCTAAAACAGAAGCATAGACAGTTGACCTCTACCCTCATTGCCAGAAAGTTATACACAACTTTGAAGGGTCAGTCCAACTTGAAGGTCAGGACAATTATGGAGATGACTAAGGAGATATTTAAGTATGACATAAAGTATGGGAAAGCATGGAGGGCAAAGCAACGGGCCTGGAAGATGATATATGGGGACTGGGAGGAGGGGTACGAGCAGTTGCCAGCAATGTTCAATGCAATGAAAGCAGCAAATCCAGGCATGCGTTACGTGTATATCCCGAAGCCGAATGAATGGAAGGGCGGGAGGCAGATATTCTTTCGTGCATTCTGGTGCTTTCCCCAGTGCGTCGAGGCCTTCAGGCACTGTCGTCTAGTGTTATCCATCGATGGTACTTTTCTACTTGCAAGTACATGGGCACACTTTTGGTAGCCATTTCGTGTGACGCAGACAACACATTGGTTCTTTTGGCTTTCGCTTTGGTGGAGAGGAACCTGGGGATGGTTCTTGCGTCTTGTTAGGATCCATATCGTTGGCCCTCGTAGGGAGGTAGGTGTCATCTGATAGACACCAGGGCATACTCAGTGCCGTACAGGAGCAGATTCCGGGTATGCACCTTTGCACCATCGTTGGTTCACTCGACACCTTGTCGAGAATTTACTTCGGAACGATGGTACGAAGGACAACTTTCCTCCATTCGAGGAGGTTGCTCGCATGCTTGAGGTGTCGTTCTTCGAGGAGAAGTTGGAGCAGCTAAAAACGGCAACAAACGCAAAAGGTAGGCAGTGGCTGTGAGAGGATTGATGAGAGAACTTGAGAAATGGACAAGAGTCTACGACAATGGTGGATGGAGGTACGAGTTTCAGACTAGCAACATGGCGGAGTCATTTAATAGTGTACTCAAGGGTATACGTGCCATGCCCGTCAATGCCATTGTATCATTCATCTTTTATAGGCTAGTTGCATGGTTTAACGAGAGACATGCTCAAGCAATGGCACCACAGAGTAATAATCAGAAATGGGCACCTAAACCTAAGAAGCACCTTGACAAGGCAAAGGAAAAGGCTGCCACACATGACGTCGATTGCTTTGACCACAACACCGGCAAGTACTAGGTCACAGAAAGGGGTGGTACAACGTCCGATGGTGAGGTCTGGCCATCAAGGAGTTATATTGTGGTACTTAGTAATTTCTCATGCCGATGTGGGAAAACCAGGTAGTATCACTTTCCTTGTTCTCATTATGTTGCAGCATCTCAGCTTCGCAACTAAAGATGGCAATGGGTAGAAAAAACCCGCGTACCCGTGGGCACCCGACCCGGCGGGCACGGGCATGGGCACAGGTTGCTGCCCGTGGTGGGTGGCGGGCGCGGGTGTGGGCATGAGAT